CCTTGTGCTACTAGTCTTGCTTTGTATTTAGAGATTTTTCCATTATCTCCTAACTTTTTCTTAAAAACCCATCTACATCCGATGGTTCTTTCTCCAGGAGGCATTTCAACAATGTCCCAAACATTATTTTTCTTCATTGACTCAAGTTCGTCATTGATGGCAGCCACTCACAAATCTGACTGACACTTGACATTACAATACGCGGGAGATCGCTCGATAATATCGTTATTATATCATTCTTTTTATATATTCAATATCTGGTATAAACAGTTCGTACATTCCAACGCGTTTTGATATACATCAACGGCACCTCAACAACGCAATACATCTTCGATTTATGGAAATATTGACAGAACAATATATTTTTGATTATTTTATATGAAAGAATACGAAACAAAAAGAAAACATTTTCTTTTTGTTCAACATGAAAACCAACCAGCAAAAACTTTTAAGAAGAATAACAGTTTTTAGAAAAGGTGAAAATAAAAAAATCCTGTTTTTTAGTCCATCCAACAAAAATTAATAATGTTATTTTCCTAATATAAAATAAAATTTTAAAATTATACGTAATCAAACATTAAATAAACCTTCAGTTTATACAAGAAAATGAATTGCAACTTACTCGAATTATCAAGGTAAATTCATGAAATTAACTTCTGAAATAATTATAAACAGGAACGTTTTAATTAATGTACAGAATTAATTCAAAGTAGAAAATAGAGTTAGTTAGCCAGAGGGCTCTGATCCGAAACGCAAATGAAACTTCAGAGTGATATTTAGTTAGTCACAGGGCTTTTGTCCTAAACACCGTTAAAACTTCAGCAATAGAATTAGTTAGCCTGAGAGCTTTATTTTGAATAGCTGATCAAACATCAGTGAGAAAGTTAGTAGATTAAAATTCAGCGATAGTAAATTAGTTGGTTTTTATGATTCTACTCTCGAATAAGAAAGTGTCGGCCATCGAGTAGATATGCAAAACGTACCTAGTTCCTTTTTGGAAAATAAGAGAGAGGTGAGGAAAGTCTAATGATATTGGCCGGTTATTGTCCTAAATCTCCTATTTGATTGAGCATTATTGATAATAATAACGTTAACATTCGCTTAAATTGGACAATGTTGATAAACTATAAATGACAGCCTTTTTACGACCCTGCTCGAGCGTTATCGTTAGTGCCCTCTTATGTGTGGGCCGCAAACCGCAACTATTTGGATTTGAATAAAATACAGGATTATGTTTTTGTTTACATCGCTATTTTCTGGCTTTCCGCACGAGCGATTGATTGGATATTTCCAAAGTTTTATATTGATAAAATAAATCACGAATGTGAGTGAAATGTCCGAAAAATTTATTTAGATGATAAACTTACTTCTTAAATCCAAACGAAATAATAATAAGGCGTTTTTAAGTGCAAGTGAATATGAACAACAAATAAGCAAATTTAAATACGCAAAAGAAGTTCTTTGTAGAGAAGGATCCAAGAAAACAACAACACATTATAGAATGGTATTTAAATATATTCTTTTATTGACTGGAAGGGAAAATTTAATTAAACCTGTAGAGGAAACTTCGCAGTCAAAAAAATCTATATTATGTGACAAATGAAGAGTTGTTTGAAATAATTTAGCTATCGGACATGGTGGAAGAAATAGGATGGTTGCCGAAATAAATAAATAGTACTGTATAATTACGAAAGAGTCCATAATGATTTACTTACGTCTTTGCTCTCAGTGTCAGAAGAAGAGCAGCAGTCCACGTAAAGGATTAGTTTCTAAGCCCATCCTGCATTCAAAATTTAATTGTAGCGCTTAGGTTGACGTGATTGATATGCAATCACAGAGTTACAATAAATATCGTTTTATTATGGTATACGAAGACCACTTGACTAAGTTTGTTTTGCTGAGAGCAATAAAACCTAAAAGGGCGAAAGAAGATGCCTTTTATTTATTGGACATTTATACAACATTTGGGGCACCGCTAATCTTGCACTCAGATAATTGCAGAAAATTTATCAACTCAGTTCTTGTAGAATAACAAACAATGTGGCTTGAAGTTAAAATAGTTCATAGCAAGTCTAGACATAGCCAAAGTCAGGGTTCAGTAGAAAGAGCTAACAGATATATTGAGGAAATGTTGGGCGCCTGGATGGATGGATGAAAACAGTACCACAGACAGGCCCTCTGGCATAAAATTGGTTCAGTTTAAGAAAAACCGAGCATTACATTCTTGTTAATATTTGATGAATATTTCAGGTTATTACCTATGACTAGATCAATAGATCAAATATTAGCGACTATTTCTCTAGAGAAATTATCAATATTGTCAAATACCATTGAGCTAAAGCTCTTGGGCTCTAATCAGATTATTAAAGCCTAAAAATTATGTCTTATCAAATTGATATTAAAATATTTTCGAGATTTAGATTCAACAAAAATAACTGACTATTATCAAGGTCTTGGTATATTATCCTTGATTATATATTTTTTTACATTTGTAGGCATTGGTCAAAGTCCTCATGAAGCTATGTTTGGAACTCCAGCAAAAGTTGGATTAGCTTCAGTTGGCATTCCGTATGACGAAATTAATAATTTGGATTCCGAAGAAGAGGTAGAGAACGTGTTAAGAGAAATCAAATAAAGGTCCGAAGGAAATGAAAGTGCGAAAAAGAAAGAGATAAAGAAAATGCAGAATTGAAAAACAATTTTTAATTTGTATACGAAATCTGCGGCGAAGCAAGCAAAGAAACAAACGAGGAAACAGAACTTCAGGAAGGTAAGTTTTTTTTTTATTTCACCATAAGGGAGCCCAATGCCCAACGACAGGAACAAACCTGATATACAGACGGGTCTAAGACTGCGGAAGGCACTGGGGCAGGAGTATTCTCCAAAAACCCTGATACTAACCATAGCTATTCTATAGGAATACATTCCTCGGTATTTCAGGCCGAAATATACGTAATTTTGCAATGTGCAAAAACGAACAATGAAAGAGCTGTCAAAAATCAGCATATTCAAATAATGTCAGAGAGCCAATCGGCACTTAAGGCCATATCGAGTCAGAAAGTTACGCCGAGGCTGATATGGGAATGCATCGAAGAACTAAGAACACTGGAAGACCGAAATAGAGTAAAACTATTTTGGGTGTCAGGTCACCAAGGGATCGAAGGCAACGAAAAGGCTGACGAACTTAAAAAAGGGGATAAGAAGAAACACCGGAACCAGACACAAACCCAGGAGTACCAAACAGTACAGTCCGGGGTTTTATAAACGACTGGATTCGGGAACAACATATCAACTATTGGGGAAGCACCCCAAAACAGGCACATGGAAAAGCCTTCATAGGCAGACCATGTCCCAAAAGAACTGAAGAACTACTCTTAATGAATAGGAACCAGTTGAAAGTGATAACAGGGTTCATGACTGGGCATGCCCCAGTAAAGGGAGACTTGAACAAAATTGGCATGTACAATGGGGAACTCATGTGCCGACTATGTCACAAGAATCCAAATACATACTGTGCAAATGCGAAGCTCTAGATCGCAAAAGACAGGCTCTTTTTGGACAACCCCAGGTTGATCCAACAAAGTATAGAACCCACTCAACCAAGGTACAAAGGTGACAGAGTGGGTGATATGAACTAACATGGGGTAAAACACAATAAGCCAATAGGCTTCAGTGTTATTCGGAGACACATAGTCAGACGAGCCCAGGAGAAAGGAAAAAAAATGGGACTCACAAGCAAATATTTACAAGATCTGAACTCAATCCATGTTTGGAGAAGCTTATATTATAGGAAAACCTTAGTGACGCTGTTAAAGGAAAAGAGGAGCTGCAACATAAAATACTGTTTTTGGAAAACAAGGATGTAAGCGTTGTCACTGCAAGGGTGGGTGTAAAAACAATAAATGCGCTTGTCGCGTCAAGAAAAAAGTTTGTAATTCCAAATGTCATGGATCATTATCATGCTCCAATAAAACTGATAACAGTTACATAATTATAATGTTTTCATGTTAATTTTACAGTAGCTTACTGGTAATGCGTTGAGAATAACAATTTTAAGTTACGGTGCCAACTTAATTCTTTAAAATCAACTTCACCCACTTATTGATAGTCAATGTCATTAATGACCGGACAAAGATGCAAAAAATAATATATTTTCAACATTGTCCACTCATTGATGGTCGATGTCGTTAATGGCCGGACAAAGATGCAAAAAAAATATTATCCACATTGTCCACGATTAATGGGCATTTTCGTTACTGCCCAGATAATAACGATATTGGCCAGCAAATATGGCTGCTGACGTTAGTGTCCCGTCAATATCGTCAATGCCCAATTTTCAACACTGCCCGTAACATCTATAATTTAATGTTGTTGATTGAACAAGAGAGTCTGAGTGAATGCCAGTTTGACATTATTTGTCATTATCAATATTTGTTGATGGTCTATTTGTAATAAACATTGTTTGGCAGTTGTTAATTGGTATTTATTCTTCAGATAAAAACGTGATTATCTAGGGCATCATTTGTCATGATTGTCATGATTAGTTCTGAGTGTTTTATTTTTTTTTAATTCGTTTCCACTTTAGGGATATATATGATTATACATTTTCATATTTTTTAAAATTGCACTTTAGTTTTTTTGGATTTCAATCAATTTTCTCACTTCTGTTGTCTTTGTAAATTAAAATTTGTTAAAATAAACAAAAAAAAAGTACACACAAATACATAACATAGCATGTATCATTAGTGTGATATTCTTTTAATTAATACTAGGGTGATATAAACTACTCTTTTAGACCAAAGCATTGCTCTATTCCTCTATTTGTACTTTTCTTATTTGGTCGTAGGGAAAGTTTAAACACAGATGAAGTTTCTGAAATATCTATTTATCTAGAATAGTAACAATAAGTTCTTTTGAATAGATAGATGGTACCATTAAGTTACTAAATCATATTTACTTTAATTTTTTAACTGCTTTAACTTTTCCTTTAGTGTACTTACTCAGTCAGGCATTTGTCAACATTAGAAACTGCTTTGAAACCGAGGATGGCGAATATCACAACACTTGCGTATATGGCAGTAACTGCATTGCAAATTGAAACCAAAATTACGTCCCTCACGCAATTATTTTTGGGGGTGTTGTATGATCCAAACGCTATTAAAGAACCAAAGGCCAATCCAAATGAGTAAAATACTTGGGTTGCTGCGTCTAACCACACTTTAGGTTGCAGAAGTTTTTCCACCTAAAACAATTAATAAATATTATATAACATGTTCTTTTTTTGTGTTTCTTGATGCAAAAGAATTGATCTACAAGGTCAGGCGTAGGGTAGATTTACCGATTATGGTCTTCCGCCAATTGAATCTAAAATATTAACGGTCGTGTTCAAACTAACCATAAAAATCATGTGAAATCCCACTCTTTATTGTATTCTTGATAACTCCCGCGCAAAATATTTAATTTTTCGGATACAGTGGTGTTTATCTAGTCTGATTTTTAACATGTGGCGAAGATATTGTGCTTTACCTTAAAATTTTGTTAAGGAACACGAGTTAAGGTATTGCATCATTTTGAGTAGAAATATAGATATGGGTGTTTAAGTGTTTAGTATTTAGTATTTGATTTATAATCGATTTTTTGTGTTAGTTTTAGACTTTGAACTAGATATTTAACCTATAAATAATTAAAATAATAGTGGCCACAACTGTGGCATTAAATGTACCTTCTGCGTCAGTTGTAGTCTTTTAGTTGCCACAAATGGAGCATAAAAACCAGTTGAGGCCACACAATAGAAAGAGATAACAAAACGGAATACTCATAAAGTAGAAAAGGAGTAGGTAACAACCAGAGATAACAGAGATATAAGCAGTCATTCATAAAATATAATATTCATGGTGCCAACAATAGTTAGTACTGTATATATTCTATTTCTAGACGCGGGACGAGGCGACGAAAGGTGAGAAGTAAGAGAAGGGATAGAGTGAAGGATTTTACGTAGTTTTATCAATGAATAACTGCCCGAGCTTATACTACATAACGTAAATTTCCATGCCGGTGTAAGCCCTGTTGCCACTTCCAATTTAACATCTCTAGGTTTTGGAATTTGTTGAAAATTATTACATCTAATTTAATGAAATTACATCTAATTTGGTTAAAAATGGCTATTTTTTGTTCTAATGCTCAATTAGGTCTTTGTAGAAAGTATTTTTTTTATAATTATTTAAAATCATTTACATTAGCCCTTATGGTCGAAAAAAAAAATTTAAACGTCAATATCTCGGTTTCAACCGTCTACAAATTTGTATAAAAAATGTTCTTTTAGAAATATACTTCTCATTTGACGAAAAGCGAAGGCATAAATGAAAAACAACTATTCTTTATAAAAGTTTCGCCTATATATTGACAAGGTAAAAGTACTTTCGTCATATTTTTTGCTTTTAAATTAACAAAAATATAGCAATAAACAGTTAGTGATGTCATGGTTTTACTAGAAAGCAAACATTAAAGGCAGAGCCTCTCGACTCTTTATGCATCTATCTCAGTATTGAAATGTATGCAATCAGTTTGAATCTCTAACATTATTTTATACAGGGATTATTGATTTTTCCACTATGAATAATAGGGTGTATTAATTACTTCAAGATTTTTTTTTATTTTTGGTGGAAAATGAAAAATAAGAAAATATAAACTATTAAAGGTATTTATTGAAGTATCAATTATAAACAGTAAGGCTATTGCTTTGCAAAATACAATAAATCCCCAATATAAATTATAATAATAATAATAATAATAATAATAATAATAATTGGAAGGAAGTATATAAAGCCTAAATTAATAATATTAAAATTTATAATTACACGACTTTCAAACTAATCAGAATCAGATTCACCACACGAATCAACATTTTCCAAAACATTAGCGGCTGTGCCATACAGGTGCAGGAACTGATACAGGAAATATTTTTTTTCTGCATTTGCAAATTTTGCTTCCACAGTCTAAAACAGAATATTATTGTTAGAATATTGTATAGTATCTTTTTTGCATTTGCATGATGTAAGTTCTGTTATGTCTGGTGGCAGGTCGGACAGAGTCTTAAAAGTGGGTATCAGACTTCCATCTTGATCTACTTTCCGTCCATACTCTTCAACATTAGGAAGCTGCATCTGGGTTTAAAGAGGTTAGCCAAATATTTAGCTGGTAAAAACATCTTAAACAATGTAGTCTTAGGGCGTCTTCAGTCGGTGGCAATTTAGCGATGGTTTTTGAAGAGGCCAATAATCCCCCCAAAATGTTAATGGAAGTAACATTGGCAGTTTTGAATACATTTTTAGGAAAATTCTTTCAAGATTAGAGAATATGTTTTCAGAGTACTGATCAGTGCCAAATCCATCCAAAAAGTAATGGTTTTCAAGGTAAGTTTTCCAACAGGTTTTGTTCCCAATGCCGGACAATTAAATGGTTGTATCACAACCGGTCAGAATGAAAAGCAGGCATATTTTTTAGAAGGTTTTCATCCAAATTTAAATAATATACTGCTAGAAATCGCCTTGAGTCTCCTCGCCTTGTTCTGAACCATATATCTTTAGACAAAAAAAATCGTCTTTTGATGGTTCAAAATTCTTTCCATATTTATTGATTTTCGCGAATCCACCACTAGTTAGAAATTGAATATGCTTTTGCTGAATGGAGTTTTGAAGAAGTTGTTCTGGCAGAAAATGTGTTAAACGTCTTTTGTTAAATATCTAATGAATAAACAAGTTCTATTGTTGCGGAAGTGGAATATTGGGTCGGTCAATTTCTATATCAATATATTTCTGAAATCCTCTCTTTTGACGTGTTGTATTTTTGATAGAATGTCCTTTATAATGATCAAATACCACATCTATCATTTGAGCATTAAATTTATTTCTAAAAATAATGTTTACAAATATATGAGCATATTCTTTAAATGATATGCAACTTTTGGACTTTCCTATTTTGATATAATTTTTGTCTCTGCTACTTGCAGCAACAAATCCGTAATTAAAATTTTAAACGAAAACTTATAACTTACCCAAATATATTTAGCTGCAACAGGATGAATGTAGATATAATAAAGAGGCAAAAATGTCTATATTTTTTCCCAATTTATTAGGTAATTTAATATATAACAAATACACTTATTAATTCTTTAGTAAAAACAGATAACAATATGACACATTGCCCTATGGAACATAACAAGCAGTTTTATAATAAAAAAAATGAAAAATCCTACCATATCAATAATGTGATACATCAGCCCGCACGTAGAGAGAAACAGAGCTATGCTACGTTTGAAGGTGAAGAGAAAGATACACTGAGAGTCGATAAATTTGACGGTGAGAATTAATTACAGCATAAACCTATGACATCTCTCATCGTTTATTGTTATATCTTTGTTAATTCAAAAGCAAAAAATATAGTGTTTACTTTGTTACCTTCTCAACACATAAGCAAAAATTTTATAAAGAATGTTTTTTTTTTCATTTAGGCCTTCGTTTTTTGTTAAATGTGGTATATTTAAAAAAGACGACTTTTTAACTAAATTTTTGAAGGGCTAAAACCAAGATATTTACGTTTATATTTTTTTTCGGCCGTAAGTGCTAATGCAAATGATTTTTTTTAAATAAGTATAAACAATTACTCCCTACAAAGATTTTATTGTGCATTTGACCAAAAAATTAGTATTTTTTTCTCTATTCGGTGGTATCAATATCTGGATTTTTGATGATAGTGCCCTTCTCACAATCTAATTTTGTATTAACTCCGGAAAAAGGGTTACCTTATCATGACCTTTCATCTGTGAAAAATTCAGCTATGTGACAAAAGAGTGGGAGGTGAATCGTTTTCTTGAGCGAATATTTTAATACATACACTTTACTAACAATGACAACAGCGGATATTATACCCACAATATATTGTGATTATACCCTACTGTGTCCCTTAGAATATGTCTTATTCACGGCCGCACGATATTTGTTAATAGTTACATCTCCTGGTTATCTCTGGTAACAACCTATAATTAATTTGTTTCAGAAAAATTATGTCACTCCGAAAATTATTTTAATATACAGAAAGTGTCATGGAAAATGCTCAATGCAATACAGCATCAGTCTATGCCCATATTATCAGCATGCAAAAAGTTTAAGTTCCTAGAACATCTGTACAAAATAGATTAGATGGTGACACAAGCGATGATTGCCGAAGAGTGGGTCCAAAATGTGCGCTTGGCCAGGAAATAGAACATACATTGGTTTCCTGGATTCATAGCTGTTGTTCAAGAAGTTTTTCTATAAATAAAGAAGGTCTTCTATATTCTGTACCAAATATTCAATAAGAGTATGTTATACACATAAAATTGTTGGAAAAGGAGCCAGGAAGGAAATTTTTCGGTTCTTTTATGAAGAGGCACCCGGAAATAAGCAAGAAAAAGGCGGAATTTACAAACAAGGCAAGGGCTGCAGTTTCTGAAGAATCTATCAAACGTTGGTTTATTCACTTAAAGGAGTTCCTTTGGACTGATGCTGCCATTTTAAACAATCCAGAGCGCATATTTAATATGGATGAAACAGCCATTTTTTTATTACACAAATGAGCTTGGTAGGTATTCCATGATCTTAACTTCTTGTTCGCACACTCTTGGCAATTACTATAATCTAGCGCAGTAGTCGCCAACCTGTCGATCGCGAGCTACCGGTAGCTCACGGAGGCAATTCTGGTAGCTCTCACAACGATTTTAATTTAAAAAATACAAACTGCAAAAATCAGAGAAGCTTCCGAAAATTCCACAAAAAAATATAATTGTCATAAACATAAACAGCGGCAACGTTGCGGTGAGTGATCTGCCGCTGACGCCATCAAGCTAGAATCGGCTAGAACCGACCAGCCGGACCAGCGCGTTAGTGTTCGAGAACGATCAGGATTGCTTTGAACGGGATAAATACGCACGGCGCGGCGACATTGCGCTTAGTTTAAAACTGAACGCATAACCAACGTCCAGCGGTTGGGTTAGTAGAGAACAACAAAAAATAATATTATGGCAAGCAGTTGTAAGAAGGTAAAGACATACCACTTTCATTCGGAATGGGAAGAACAATAATTTTTTACAGAAGTTAAAGATAAAAATGTGTGTTTGTTATGTAATACTTCGGTCTCCGTTGCTAAGAAAGGAAATATTGAGAGACATCATAAAACTGTACATTCTAATTTTGAAAAATCATTCCCATTACATTCTGCCGCCAGAAAGGAGAAACTGAAACAGTTAAAAAAGCAGTTAATTGGACAACAATCAATATTTTTAAGAACAGTCGACAAAAATAAGGGTGCAACTGAAGCATCGTACCGTGTGTCCCAGATAATTGCACAAAAAAAGAAACCTTATGAAGACGGGGAAATGATAAAACAGGCGATTTTAGAAGCTGCTGATTCGTTATTTGCCAACTTTAGAAATAAAGACGAAATAGTTTCAGCTATAAAATCTATGCAACTTGCTGCTAATACAGTGATGAGACGTGTAGAAGTAATTAGCAATTATATTTTTTTACAATTAAGAACTGACTTAGATAACTGTGTTTATTTTTCACTTCAACTGGATGAATCAACAGATGTCGTTGACACTGCCCAGATGGCTGTGTTCGTCAGGATGGTTTAGTGATTTTACGATTAAAGAAGATCTTTTGAAGTTTATTCCACTGAAAGGACACACTACTGGACAGGAGTTGTTTTCTCATTTAAAAAATATTATTTCTTCCGAGAAATTTCCAATATCGAAAATGGTAGGCTTGACAACCGATGGCGCTCCAGCTGGTGGGTTGTGATAAGGGTCTGGTGACGTTATGTCGTAAAGATGAAACTTTTCCGCAATTTCTCTGTTACCACTGTATTATCCATCAGCAAGCATTATGTGGAAATTTCCTGAAACTAAACAACGTTATGAAACTGATGGTAAAAATTGTGAACAAGATTAGAGCTCAAGCGTTACAAAGAAGATTATTCAAAATCTTGGCCGATGAAGTTGACTGTCAATACAGGGACCTACTCCTTCACTCTTAAGTCCGATGTTTAAGTAGAGGACGGGTGCTGAAACGTTTTAATGATGTCCTATCTGGCATAGTTCAATTTTTTAAACAACGCGATGAACCGACTCCGGGACTAAAAAATTCAATCTGGCTTAGAGATTTTGGTTTTCTCGTGGACATTACAGAGAAATTAAACGAACTTAATTTACAACTTCAGGGGAGAGACAAAGAACTAGCGAAAATGATTTCTGATATAAAAGCGTTTATCAAAAAGCTGGAGTTTTGGGAACAAAACCTAATTAACAGCGATGCCAAGCATTTTCCTATTCTTTCAGAAAAAATATCTCAAAATCCATTAGAACCCTATGACAGCAAATATCATGTAGAAATTGTTTCTACCCTGAAGAATAACTTCAAAAATCGTTTTAAGGATTTCAACAAAATGGCTTTAGTAGCGCAGTTTGTTGTTTCACCCTTTATGGAAATTGATATCCAACAGTTTGCAACTTGTGTTATGCAGAACTTTGGCGAAGACATCGCTGCAACAGAAATGAAAGTAATTGAGTTTTAAAATGATTTAGCCTTAAAATCGTTAGTCTCAAGTACTAAATGTATCTGGCCTATTGTAAGTATAGACAAATATTCAGTTCTATGCCGTGTTGTCTTGAAAGTGAAAGCATTATTCAGTTCAACCTATTTGTGTAAATCTTCTTTTTCCAATATGAAGTTTATTAAGAACAAATATCGCAATCGACTTACAGATGAACATTCGAATGGCTGTATCAAATTATACTGCAAACATTAAAAAAATTATCGATGAGTCTGAGTGTCAGCCTTCTCATTGAACGTGCTTTTTTATTTTTCAATGTTTATGTTCATGATAGTGCGTTACTTTTTTGTTGTTATTATTAACTATTTTTAAGTCTTACGTGACATGCCGTTGTGGCTGGATAAAAGTTTGTGTTTATTTTTCAAACACCTTCGTTTGGTAGGTAGGAATGTAGCTATGAACAAGTACGTACTAGTAATATTAGTTATTTTGTTATTAGTTTATTATTAGTACCTATGTATTATGTATTACCAGTTAAATAGTAAAATAAATACATATAATGATTAATTGACTGTGGATTATTTCATTTATGTTGCGTTACGTGGCTTCCGTGTGGGTAGCTCGCTGTTTATTCCAAAATTAACAAAGTAGCTCAACACATTGAGAGGTTGGCGACCACTGATCTAGCGCATATTCTGTCTAGTCTATGTCAAGTATTTGTTAACTGCAGTGTTGTGAGGATTACTTAAAAGCTCTCTGACAACTCCCATCTTAACATCAAATAACGGTACAATAAATTAAAGGATTGATTTCAGAAAAGTTGTAAGTAATTTTTTTAATAAATAGTTTAAAACTTATCTGGTGATTTATATTTTCTCGGAAAGTCGCTAAATACAATTTAATCTCTCGTAAACTATATCATTAATAAAATGGCTTTAGATAAATTAAATTACTCACATCATCATAATGGTTATGGTGTATTTCCTGAAAGTTTTAGCTTTATAGAGGTACGATAAAAAATATCATCATCATAGCCACTTTACCTTAATCTCATATGTGGTTGCAACACAAAAAACGCCTGGCATTTTTTAAATTTTTAAATTGTACATTATAGGATAATAAAATTGCAGTTTTGCAGGGTATATTAATCAATTATTAATAAATTTATTTTCTTTATACATAGTTGTCTTTGCTCCGAATTTCTATTTCTCTCTCTTTCTTTCTCTCTTTCTACCTATCCCCTATATATTGAAAACTCTAAGCTATAAAAAGAGAAGTTTTAGGTGAATATTTTTCCTGCCAAAGCGTCAATTTTGTTTTAATAAAAATCCCTGTGTAATATTTCAATTTCAAATTAATTCTCATTTCTAATTGGAGAGGCAAATCGCTATAATCATGCGCGTCTATGTTTTTTCGATAACTAAGCAGTTGTGTCCGGTCACGTCTTGTATGGGTGACCTACTAGGAGATGTGTTAAAAAGTGAAACAATTCCTTCGTTTTACTTTGATTTTTCTTATTTTTTACTTATTTACTACTAAATATTATATATTTAAGTAACATTATCTTACCTTTGGTGTTAACATATGAGCTAATCCTGCACTGGCACCTTTAAGCGTGATACCTCTTACGAAAAATATGGTCAGGACAACATATGGAAACAGTGAGGTGAAATATACAACCTAAAAAGAAATTAAAAATGTACAATTATTTTAGGTAAATCAATAAGTAAAATTTTTTATTTTGTTGCAGATTTAGTTACAAACGGATTGGTATATCTACCAAAATATACTTAAAAATTAAGGTCTGTCTTTTGTAATATTAAACTAATATCAAACATGATATAACGTTTTATACCTAGGTGGTATATATTCGTACTAGCTTATAATTAAAGTAATTTTAAAACATTTACCTAATAATAAATTCGATAAATATGTGTAATTACCAACTAACCTTTCCTGAGCTCTGGATACCTCTCATTACAATAAAGTAAACCACAATCCATGAGAGAAGCAGACATAAAACGATCCACCATCTTGGCATTCCTGGATCTTCGATATTAGCTGAAGCATCCAGAGTAACACGATACCAGAAGTACGCTGTCGCTGAAGATTTGTCGCATTCCATATCTACGGTACCATTATTCACAGGACACGATTGCCACGGGAGAGGATTCTAAAAAATATAATGGTTATATGTCAAGTTATCGAAGTTTGTAAATTAAAAGTTTCATTTAACCGACTTCAAAAAAGGAGGAGGTTCTCAATTCGTCGCAATATTTTTTTTATGTATGTTCAGTGATAATTCTTTACCACGATGTCCGATTTCAATTATTCTTTTTTTGTTAGAAAGAGGATACATCAGGGGTGGTCTCATATAAGTTTGGTCAAAATCTAATAATTGGGTCCATGAGAAAATCCTCAAACTCTTCATTTTTTATGTATGTTTAGCGATAATTCTTTACTACCTTGTCCGATTTATATGATTAATTTTTTGTTAGTAAAGGGGTACCTCAGGGGTAGTCCCATATAAATTTTTGAAGTCAGTTTTTTTAAATTTTTAATTTCTAATACTTGTTAAACAATAAATTAAAACTTTTACCATTTTGTGCATTATACTATTGGCTGTGGTGACGCGAAATAAAACAACAGTACAATAACGAACTATAATCAATATTGCAGATGCTTGTGAAAAACATAACGTTTGTAGTCATAGAATACAAGTTGTTCCATTCGGAAATACTGTGTTCAAACGAATGTAGGATGAAAAATCATATTATTGATGATAAAACTTTCCTTCTGCTTCTTTCGTATTTTAATGCCCATTTGAACACCAGATTGTATATTAGATTGCTATTACTAATTATACAGGGCGTCTGTAAAAGGTCTTTACAAAACCATACCACATATTCCTTAGACCAAAATAAGTCGATTTAAGTAAAATTACCTAAGTAAAAAGTTGCTTCGTTTGGGCTCCAGAGGGCCTTGAATTTACAATTTTTAAATCGTTTTTCCCATATAAATTTAAAATGGCATAGTTGATTTTGCTGAAATTTGGTATATTGGTAGAGTTTTATGTGGCAAAAAAATGGTATTAAAATTTTGTCCGATAATAATACATAGGCGTAGAACTTGATTTTTTAAATAATTGCACCTTTAAAAATTCTACGCCAATGGAAGAAAAGGAGTTTAAGTATGAAATTTAGATTGCGCAACTCATTTACTTTAAAAAAGGTACTCTTGATAAGACTCGATTACTCTCATGGTTTTCGCTAAATTTCTGTTTTAATAATTTAGATCCAGCTAGCACAAAAACATCCCATCTACGTTAATAAGCTGCAATTTTAGGCTCTTTAAGCTCACATGCAATGTACTTTTAATGTAACCCTAATATCCCTGCAACCACCGAATGTCCGCAACGGCAAGACTTTTATAGCACATCTCACAAAAGTTAAAAAGTGAAGTTCGGAAAACATCACACTAGCACTTTTACGGTACTTACCCTGAAAGTTGCTCTGAAACTTTCTATAGATGTTATAATGTGAATTAGCTCTACTGCATTATACAGTGTGTCCACGGATGGACTTAACTATACTTGTGAAAATATTTATTTTAAATTAAAAAAGTAATTCTTCATAATTTACTTGTTAAATAAATTCGATTCACATTAAGAAATTATGAAAAATAACTTTTTTTAATCTAAAATAAATATTTTTACAAGTATAATTAAGTCCATCCATGGACACACTATATTGTTCTTTGTGTAATGTAATACGGAGAGGCTGAAATTGAGGTATAGTAAAAACTCAATCGAGACATGGAAATTTCAAATAAAACAAAATATATATGTAAATTTATTATTAAAATGTTCTTGAAATCAAGTAGTAATATCACAAAAGTAGAGGTAGGTATATCACAAATGCAGTTACACATGTATAGTAGAAGCCACCTGTAAAGCACTGAACGATTGGACAAAATTTGCTTAATAGTAATAATAAGGTATCAATATTGCAAAGGTTCACTAGAAGCTTAAACAGTGAACGATTGTACAAAAGTATATTTATATAAGGTACGTTTCAAGATGGCAATTGTATGATGCAAAAAAAATAGATCTGTGAATAATAGATGATTGCAACAATGACTTAGGTATATATCATGAGATAGCTGAGGTTCCAGATTGCTTACCTGTACTCACAGAGATATATCATCTTTTTAAAATCAAACCTTTTAACTTTTTTTTTGTATAGATATTTATATATTTTTATTTTGTTAGTTTATTATTTATACAAAGGTGAACAAAAATTATTTTATTCTAACTACATATTGAATAAAAAAGAGATTGACCTACTTGTTTAACTATTATTGAAGGAAATTATATAGAAAGTAAAAAAATATACTCAAGTTTAAATCGTTGCACTTATTTTTAGGTAATTTTGTCTTTGTTGTTTTAAATAAAACCTCTAATTTTTTTTAGAATTTAACAAATTTTATGCATAATTATGGATTTCCAAGTTAGTATGAAGATTTTATAAAAAAAACAATTCATGTTTTTTGGCAAGATATTCTGATGTATGCTCGAGGGCATCTTCTGTGATTTTTCTCAAATTTTCTTCTAGTTTGGCACTTGCTTGAATCTGATGTTGTTTTTTTTTAATATAGACGTACCATGTAGATTCACTTTTTATAAAACTTCAGATGTCATATAGCTATTCTTCTTTAGACAAGTCTGTAGTATTTATTTTGCTTCTAAAATTCTTAGAATGTTTTCAGGTACAAAGGAAGTCTAAAATACAATATTTTTAAAATGTATTTTTAGTTCGATTAAGTATATTATTACCCAGAAGTTTGCTACATTCTTAGTAAAGTGGAATCACATATTGTGGATTTTGTTTCTTGTAAAAGAAGGGTCCCTAAATCTGTGATAAGTTCAACCTCTCCAAGCTCCCCTAAAATCACATACCAATAGTGTTATTTTATTTTAGGCCTTTATTTATCATTTACTGTAATTATCTTATGAATAATTATGTATATAATAACTATAATAACTAAGTGGGTCTTTTGTTGAACTGAAATATTACCTAAAACACATATGTTAGCGACATGCATAGGAATCTCAATTTAAATAGCTATGATTCACTTGCAGCCCCTTGCTGAGGCTCTGGCACCTCCAGAAGCCATCATCAGTTATTACCGCATCCTGAACGATCACCAGTTTGATTGCAGTAAGATTTATAACTTCTCAGCCACAAGTATTTCTCCAAATTTAGAAGTAGTGGCTCGTTTTGATAAATTCCTAAAATAATTCCAAAGATAAACTTGAAAAATTAAACATGTAAACTCACCTGTGCACCTTCTAGTATTAAAAGGGGGACCATAAGATAAATTGTATCGTATCGTTAATACCATCAGCACATTAACAGCTTTAATAACCATTTGTAGGGGATTATAAACCACAGGGTAAATTGTGCATAAGCTAAAAGAGATATTATATCATATCACAGTTAGATATACTTTTATTAATACCTTCACTCTCCGAATCATTAAATTTTAAGAGCCAGCTAGGGAAAAAGGAATTACTGCCACGACTTACATCCTTAAATAGGCCAGTAACGTGGCAACTTAGTTTTGTATATCTCTTTCATAAGGTATTTCAAGTATTTAGAGGTCCTCATTTTATAATTTCATAAACCAAGTCTTTCTATCTAGCTTCTAACAAAGTTATCAGATATTTCCGGACATTTTTATAATTCTATAAACCAGCTCCAGCTCATTCTGTCGAAAACTACAAAAATATGATCCAAATATTCCCGGACATTTTGATAAAATTTACAACAGGCATTGTAATCTAAAACGAAGAAAATGGTTCAGAAAATAGTTTTCTATTTTATAGAGGATCCTTACCACTTCTACTTAAATGTTTTTAATAATAATTATAAAAGAAATTCTGCAAATTAAAAAAACAAACATGACATATGACAAGAAACATTGGCAAGTGACAATTGACATAAACAGTTCTTGTTCTTTTTAACAAATTATTTTATTACGTTTTGTTAACATAACAGGTAGGTTAACTAGGTAAATAACAAATAGAAGTTTTGCGAGGTTTTGATTTCCCTCAACAACTTCTCATGAACGTTGCATTTACATTGTATAGTAATGTTATTACGTTCCCTTAATGCAACATCGCCGAAAGTCTTGGCAACGTTATGTGCTAGCTGGGGAGTGTATAGGTTTCACAAAAATATTTATTTACAACATAATCAAAATAGAGATTTCACAAAAATTGTTCAAAATGTTCACCATTTTCACGCATACAAAGATTTATACGTCGAAGAAAATTAAAATGTATCCTTTCCATAACTTCTTCATCACCTCTAAGATTGTTTATTGCATCTTGAATACGTTGCCAGAGTTGTTCCTCATTTTCTACAGGTTCCCTGTAAACTGTGGATTTCAGATGTCCCCATAAAAAGTAATCCATCGGTGTTAGGTCTGGGGAACGTGGTGGCCAGTTTACAGGTGCGTCATTATCTCTGCCTATCCATTTGTGTGGATATTGTTCATTCAAGTGGTTTCTAACGTTTAAAGAAAAATGTGGTGGAGCTCCATCTTGCAAAAACCACATATCTCTCCGAAGTTGGAGAGGTAAATCTTCTAACAATTCTGGCAACGTATTTTGTAGAAAATCCAAATAATTTTCTCCAGTTAATCTTCGTGGAAGTATGACAGGACCAACAATGAAATTACCAATTATTCCAGCCCACACATTAATTTTGAATTCGTGCTGAAAATGGTTTACCTTTATTGCATGCGGATTTTCAACGGCATAAACATGTTCATTATGGGTATTAGTTAAACCTCTTCTTGTAAAACCCGCTTCATCGGTAAAAAGAACCTTCTTGACAAAGTTTGGATCTCTTTCTCTTTGCATATTAACAAATCGACAAAAACCCAAACGAATTTGAGGATCATGGACTAATAATTCTTGTACTGGCTTCTTATGGTATGGATGTAGCAATTGTTCTCTAAGCACTTTATAAACGACATCTTTACTTACTCCAAGTTCTTTTCCAATTCGTCTGGTGCTTAATTCCGGATCTTCTTCAACACGTTCTAAAATGTCTTCTTCAACTTCAGGAATCCTTACAAAACGTTCTCTTCCAATATCAACAGTGTTGGGAGCAAAGGAACCGGTCTCCCGAAGACGTCTCTCAACAGCAGCAAAAGTTGGGTGGCTAGGTACAAGACGATTTGGAAACCTTTCAGAGTACACCCTGACACTCTTTTGAACATTTCCTTCACAAAATCCTAATGTCAGTAACATATCGGTATATTCTGCATTGGTATATTGTACAGCCATATTAATTAACCACGCATTTGTTTTTTTAATTATTGAGTCAGATAAAACACTTTCAATCATTAACAAGAGATTAGGTGTTAAAACTTGACAATATTTTTATTTAGATGAAACTATGGAAACCAACAATAAATGTTTTTGTATACGTATTGCAGGCAAATAATTAATATTCCTCAAAAAATCGTACATGGCAAGAATCGAGTATTTCTGTTAAAAGTCTCGATTAGAGGTGTTGAAGAAGATATGAAAAAAGTACATTTTTATGTTTTTCATCGTATAAAATTTTGTCCCATAATAATACATAGGCGTAGAACTTGATTTTTTAAATAATTGCACCTTTAAAAATTCTACGCCAATGGCAAAAAAGGGGTTTGAGTATGAAATTTGGATTGAGTACTCATTTACTACAAAAAAGTACCCTTGATAACACTCGATTTACTCTCATGGTTTTGACAAAGTTTGTATTTTAATAATTATTGTTTATGTTCTAAAATTACTAAAATGCAAATTTCGTCAAAACCATGAGAGTAATCGAGTCTTATCAAGAGTACCTTTTTTAAAGTAAATGAGTTGCGCAATCTAAATTTCATACTCAAACTCCTTTTCTTCCATTGGCGTAGAATTTTTAAAGGTGCAATTATTTAAAAAATCAAGTTCTACGCCTATGTATTATTATTGGACAAAATTTTAATACCATTTTTTTGCCACATAAAACTCTACCAATATACTAAATTTCAGCAAAATCGCATATGCCGTTTTAAATTTATATGGGAAAAACGATTTAAAAATTGTAACTTCAAGGCCCTCTGGAGCCCAAACGAAACAACTTTGTACTGAGGTAATTTTACTTAAATCGACTTATTTTGGTCTAAGGAATATGTGGTATGTTTTTGTAAGGACCTTTTACAGACACCCTGTATATTTCTTCTAGTTTTCTGTTTCTAATTATCCTTCCTATTTATTTTTTATCTGCCCCTTTTAAATTACATTTCCGGTACACTGTGGATTTTAAATCCTTAATCTACTATTAAAATTTGATGGGTATTATTTATATTTTAGTTTTCTTTAAAAAGACTAGTTATTTACCTGAAAACTGTTGAAGAGATAATAAAAACACCACGTGATGATGACGTTATAATACAGGGCTACGAAGAACGTGACTACGCAGGAAGAAATACCAATGCCTCCCAACCATGGGTGGATGGTACTCCACACGCCGAGAGAACCCAGTCTCATTTTTTGGCCGATTCCTAATTCTATGAGAAAAAGTGGGATGCCTTCCATTATAAGCATAATAGCGAAGGGTATCAGGAAAGCACCTAAAAAATATAAAAAAAAAATATTTTAAATCTTCCATTCTCATAAACTTCATATAATTATTAAATCGTTGATATAATGAGTTATTTTACTATGTGGTTAAACATAATTTTAGATTAAATTATCGCGCTGTATCTGCAGAGTTGGGTCGGATACAGGAAAAAAGTATCCGAGTACCGGATACGGATACTTACAATGTATCCGGATACTTTTTAGGATACTTTCACCTAAAAAGTACTCGGATACAAGTATCCGGATACTTTTTTCGGATACTTTAAAGGATACTTTTAAAGTGAGTTAAAATAATGTTTTCATTCCAATAGTTATAATTATGCAATAAGATTAATTACGAGTAACAATAAACAATACTAAGCATAAATAAATGATCAAAAATGGAAAGCGATATAATAGAAAGAAGAAAAAAACTACTCAATAAATTGTTTATTTTTATTCTGTGAATTAAAACATTAAAACAAAATGAACAATAAAACATAAAGGTGCGTGTAAATTGTAACGTGATATCTAGTTATTTTATTTACTTGTTATCACATGTGATCTATTTAAATGAAATGAAAATGAAAACTTTTGACACAAGGCATAAATGACATTTGAGTAAGAGGTGATTGTGTCGAAATAACGGTTCCAACCGTTACAAAATAAAACGAGTCGCGCCTGAATCTCGCCAAAAACTAGCCAGTGTTGTGTCCATATAAATCTAACGAAATAAGCTCGTTGTTGGTGCGACTTGCCATGTTTACACAACCTTTCGATATTTTCGTCAGTTTCAGATGTATAGCACAAGTAGAAGTTGGAAAGGCTTTTGGTAGGTAGAGAAGGGATAAACGTGATACCGACGGACGGCTTCGAGAATTTCACAGTAATGTTTACCTGCCAATGTCGTTTCATATAATTAGTAATTTTAAATTGTTACCGGACGATCGCATGTATTTATGGACTATAAATAATTATTAAACATGTCTCTCTGTATCTGTAACGTGTGGAAGGTGGGTTACCTCCACGGTACTTAGGACTCATTAGGCCCATTGTATTGTGACGAAGTCACTAAATTTTATTTTTAATTCATCTTAAAAAAGTATATTTCAATTAATTCCCGCCTGAGAACTTGTAGAAGTTCCCCCGTATTTCTGTTCCCCAGGAATTACCGTTTTTCAGCAATTGCGAGTACCCTCGTAGTTTAAAATATTCTTTTATTTGCCGAAATCCGAATGGGCATTTTTAGAGTCGATTTCGTATAAATTATCTACTTTTATTTGTCAAGGTACAAGAAGGGCATTTTTTGTATTTCTGAATTGTAAACAGTCGGCTGTGGTAGTGGTATCCCCACTTTGTCGTACTAGTCTTCCATCTTTCTTTACCGAAAAAGCATAAATTGACGGGAAGCTAAAAATGCCGGCTCTTGAGTCCTGACAGTCGAGAAACACTAGGTAGTGAGTTTTCTAAAAATTATAGTGAACGCCGTATTAAATCCGAGTTTGTAACCCGTTAGATTGTTAAAGGTAGGAACCGTATATTATTTTTCTTTCTATTTTTATACTGGCTTTGATATAATTAGTTGGAACACCCGTGTTACCGAACAAGAATTTTGATTCATACCCAGGAATTATTATTTCATCCCTCAGTGGGACCCCGTTGGCAATTTTTTTATTTGAGGTTGGATATGGACTAGACTCCCAGTGCTCTCTTAGTCTATGGCTAAATCCAATTTCCTGTAAAAACCGCCCAGTTAGTATCGAAGTGAGAGGTTCGACCTGTCTCATTTTTTTTTATTATTTATTGTTTTAATTTTTTTTGGAAGTTGGAACTATCCTCAGTGTAGAGTGCTCTCTTCTGACAACGTATCTAACTTCCCAAAAAGAAAAATAAACGTTTAAATTAATTTCCGCGCCTCACTTCGTGTAAAAATTATTTTCTTTTATTTTTTATTCAATGGTATTTGAATCATTCCGTATCTCCTGTTCACGTCTAGTTATTGAATGAAGTCAGACGGCTCCTGTAAAATTAAATTCACACATACACTCTCGTTAGACGCTGGGCAAAATTTGTAAATATATATTTTATTATCTATTTCTGCGTTTCTATTATTGCTGGTTCTTGACCGTTCTCTTTCAGGGTACCGTGTTTTGTTTATTTTTTTATTTATTCTAATATAGTGTTAACCTAGCAGTGACCGCCTGGAATTATTTTTAACTCCACTGAGATCACCTTGAGTACACTCTGGTGTACCACAGGGTCGCAGAGCAAACTGCGATATCAAAACTGGCGCCTGAGCAACTCCTATTCGGGAATTACATTAATAGCGCCACAGACTCGTTGATTCACAGCAGGTGAACCAAGAGCCTGTCACAGTATTAAACATGTATTATAATATTCAAATCATAATTTTACAAAATTTCAACAGATATCCACAATTTATTAAACTATTTACTTGAAATTGTTATTAACATCTACAAAATAATTTTGTACGCCAATGTATCGCGTCCACTTCGGTTAGATCCGCCACAAACCTGTCAATTTATGTGTATAAAGTGGGAAAATTGGCAAAAGCCTTTCCAACTTCTACTTGTGCTATATTCGACAATCCATTTTTTTGTGGATCCTCCGACGAGCGGTACGCAGATATTTTTTTCTTAACCATCCTCTCGAGTCCTATCGCTTGCCTAGTCCCTTACGTGTTGCGTTTGCGCGTTTGAAATTATTATATACTTGGGAAGCAACTTTTATGATGATTTTGTTTCAAACAGAATTAAAAAAATTTATTTTCAAATTTTTGTGTTTATGTAAAATTGACTTTGAAATCTCCAATCTTAAGGTGTTCAGTAGTTATTTTACTTTTTTTAGTATTGTTAACAAATTCCATTCGTTCACTGCTTTTGAAGATTGTTTTACCAACATTCAATTGAAAATTTTCTTTTTTTCTACAAATTAAGATTTTTTAAATTGCAAGTAAATTAATGAATTAAGAACTATATTTTGGCTCCGGTACGCTTTAGGTACTTACGTTGAAATTTGGAAAAAAACATTGGTTACTCTAAAAAGTATTACATATTGTAGATACATTTCCAAAAAAAAAAACAAATAAGAAATTTTCTGTTAAAGTTACAATTTTATATGCATTTCGCCTTAGGAAGGTATATCTACAATTTTTGATCTACAAAAGAATGTGTGCAGCTACATATTTTACTTAAATAATTGAAATTATTTTATAAATATATAATATTTTGATTCATTTATAAAAATTTTGTTTGCCATATTTTTTAAGTAATTCAAGAAAATTTCATTATTGTAAATATTTACATATTTTATCCAGTTAGATACTGAAACTCTTTGCAAAACTGTATGAAAATTATAAAATGTTATGTTAGGAACATCAAAATCTTGCAACTTTTCTTAGAAAATATTCGGTTATCAGCATTTTTTTTTTTTTTAGAAATGTCTACAGAATGGGTACTTTTTAATGTTCAATTTTTTTCCAAATTCCAAAAGTATCCGAATGCCGAAAAAAAGTATCTAGTATCCGGATACTTACAAATTTGGTCACGGATACGGATACCGGATACAAAATTTGAAAAGTATCCGGATACAGCTTTCGGATACACATAAAGTATCCGGATACTGTATCCGGATACTGTATCCGGATACAGAAGTATCCGGATACTACCCAACTCTGTGTATCTGTAAAGTTGGGAAGAGCTAAAGCTCTCGGGCTAATGCCTAAAATTATGTCTCATCAAATTGATATTAAAATATTCTCGAACTTTAGATTTAACAAAAATAGCTGACTATTCTCAATGTGTTGGTATATTACCCTTGATCATAACTTTGAGACGTATCAAAATAAGATGAATTCCATGTTCGCTTGAAGCAGTGGAAGAGTGTGGAGACTAAGAATGGACTTGGTTAGATTAAATTTTTGTTTAAAGTAATTCATTTAATTTGGTCTTTTGAAGTAGACTCCATCTCAGTCTTCATAGACCGTCACAGTGGCACAATACGTGTACTACAGTTTTCTCATCTTTATGAGCAAATCGACACAGTCTCTTCTGTCAGACCAATGTAATACATATGTTTGTTAAGCCTATTATACCCTTTTACTAGGCACACTAGTACTCTAGTATTTTTCCTATCATGGCATCTACGGTGAGTTTTGGCGATGGTATTTAAGATCTCTTTGGCCTCTCTGTCTCCTGGTGAGTTTTTCCACTATTCCTGAGAATTTTTTAACATCCAATGCTTTGCGCATGTTCTGATAGCTATGGAAGGATTAAGGGCCAATGATAGAGCCTTTGGAGTATCTTCTTAGACTACTGAATCAGCCTTTTTATTGCTCTTATGTCCTCTAATTCTTGGTACTCAGGCTAATAGTCTGTTTTAAGTTGCCAGCTCTGTTAGGACTTCCGAACAGTCCCATACAAGCTTTGAGTGTACCAGTATGAAACTGAATACTTCTAACGTTGCTTGACTGTATGAGTATATGACAATTGTTTTTCAATTGACCTCTTTGATGTGTTGTTGCTATTTCTGCCTGGAATACTGTCGCATGTTTACCTAAGCTTGAGATTCTTGTCTTTGGCTTGGCACTATACATACCTGATACCTACTCCTCAATCTTCACGGGTTTTATATCTGTATACCAGGCGATTTCTGCGAAAATAAGAGGTCTGGTATAATCACTATATAATGCTTTTGAATGCTATATTTTGGGAGTATTTCATCTGAATGCATTCCCATTATTTGGCCGTTCTCCAACTCTTTGCTCGCTGTAGTTATGTCCATGCAAACTGCTTGTGGGTAATGGAATTTTGTGCAGTCAAAATGTGACGGACCTGGCTTCGCCTTCAATGAATATGTGTAGTGGTGATAGGTTTTGTATGACTTCCACGGTTGCTGTTCTCATGGTTCTCGTGGCTCACTTAAACATGCATGAATACCGTTGAGTTATCTAATGGCGAGTCTTTGGTCTCCATACCACTGAGTCGTACGT